ATATTTTCAAAATATATATTTACCTGAAGAGTTTCAAATCGATTTGATAAATGGAACCAAATTTCATCCATGATTTCCCAAAACAGTTTGACTGACAGTTTAGATATAACGTATCATTTCATATTATACACTGTTAACAATGCAATTTTGGGCACAGCAACCGATTAGCTGGAAATGCAGCACAGTAGTGATATAAATAAACGATTAACACATTACGTATAACTCGAAATAGATATCAAGCTTCCGTTTTAAAATATGACTACTTCAGAAACATCGAAAATCTTAGCTCTTGGATCGTTGTGTTGTGTTATGTAAACTCATTGTCGCGTGACTTTTAGAAATGGTACAAGGAACGATTCCACTCAGTATATCATTATTTTGTATTAAATAAAACAGGTTAGCTCGAATTGTACATTTGGCGCAAATTTATTTGAGTTTTCTGTGTGATATAACGACGGTTGTGCAACTGCTGTCACGTGGGACAACGGTAATACTAGCGAAATCTTGTGGTCAATTGCTAAAAAACAGTTTTGCTTTTGCCAACACAAAAAGTAATGCGTAAACAAAGACATTATTTGAAGAAGGACAATGAAGAATTATTGTTCTTGTTGAATAAAAAATACATTTATCCCAAGTATCTTAATATACTTGTTATTTGCGCATTATTGATATTTTCACATCAATTTTTTATAGTGTTAAAATGATTGTATAAGTTGCACATTATAGATTTTAAGTTTACTGTTAAATTAATTAATTTTTTAAGAAAATTGATTTGAATTTGATGTGCAATTATTAGTGTATATGTTGTACCTTGTTAAATCTTCAATTACTTGTTAGCACTCGTCATTTGTCGGCACTTGGCATTATTCGAGGGAGAAACAAATATCAAACGACAGTCAGGGAACGAGATTTTATAGTCACACGATGCAAATGAAGTTGGAGACCAAAGCAGGGGGGTGAACGCAAAAGCGGGTGTATATAATTTATATATAATAATTTAATTTTTTCCGAAATACTAGTTTAGACACTGTTCTCAGTACTTACATTTCTTCGAATTTGTTAAAATAGTAACGACTGTACGGTCAATACGTGTTATGTACGTTTACGCAATTACTTGATACTATGAATATATCACAATGACAATATATGTCAGTATGTAAGTATTTTAAATATCTTAACATCGTTAAGCTTTGTTGATAGGTGAATTCGTCATCAAAGATAATAAAAAATCGATCGGTAATGTCATTTGTATTATTACCTATATTGCATGTAAAATTCATTTTAGAAATTTATTCACATAGCAACTTTAATTCTAACTTATAAATAAATTACATCATAAATTTAGTAAATTATACCATAGACAAAATACAGAAATATATTTTTCAAATTTTGTTACTAACAGTAGATAATTTGTATCCAATTTGACATGAATATTTCCTATCCAAGATATCCGAAAAGAGAACAGTCGACCGAATAGTTCCGAGCGTTGCCGAACAGTCCCGACCACCGTTCTTAAACGCAGCGAGAATCATGTGTAAAACGAACGTTTATGTTGAAAATAATTGTATTTCTGTAAGTTGAAAGTGAATACAAGTGATATCGAGAAGTGTATATCGTTGATTTATTTTATAATTTGGTCTTCTATGTTGATCGAATTGTCGAATTGTTCACAAAAAAGATTAATATATTACAAAACGTCTGAACGTCTAAAATACTGAACGTCTTTTCGAAATTTGCACTGCCAAATACTTTGAACATGGTGTTTTGTATGATAATAGATATTTTCTAAGACTAAAAGTAACTATTGCGCAATTTGTGTCATTGCCGTTATTTCCAACATTGATCAAATCAGTAAATTAAAAAGTGGATATTAATTGTGTTGGAGATTATTGGGTTTCTCAGCAACTAAAATGCGTTCAAGGAGATTTGAGGTATCTGGATAATTAATTTATTCCGAAATCCTCTGGACTTTGAAGTTTGGCCTCCAAGAAAGAGAGAAGCGTCATACCGGTGTTTGTGGCATAAAAAATTAAGACGTATCCGTTTATTATCAAGGAAAATTAATGAAATAGGATTAAAGTATAATTAACGTTAGAATATTATATTATATTTCAAAATTTTTGAATAAGCGCGCCGGTAGTGGGGTTACCCCCTCTCCCTATCCAGTTTCCTAGCAACGCACTTGTTGATTCGTCAGTTGCTTCTGGACGTCGTACATGACAGATGTAGTCTCTACGTGCGCAATAAGAAGGTATTATTATAAATTTAGTTTATCAATCTCTAAGTGTTTCTAATTGTTTCTTTTAGCTTATACTTGTTTCATTTTCTTTAAATTAAACGTTTGTTTATTCTGTTACAGGTTTTTGGCTGTGCTAAAGGTTCGAAAAGAAGGACGCCGTATCGACGCTATGACATTTCGTATTCGAAATCGACTGAAACAGCGGGAAATTGACAGCGATTATGTAAGTGGACATATAATCTTTTAATTTATTTCTATAGTATTGCTGCTGAACGATTTGGTCGTGAATTGTTATATAAAATCGAAGAATATTTTAATTACTTTATCGTATGTAGTTTCAAGGTGGGGAATATATGCTATCGCGAAACTTGTGTTTATAAAAACTCGTAAACACAACGGCCGTATCAATCGTTGCCCTCTTAGTGGTTGAGCATAGCTGCCTTCCGGGCATAGTTTTTCAACGTTAAATTCTCAGAATTGTTATTCGTATTAAATTTCCGAACACGCACAAACTTGTCGAAACTTGTCTAAACGTGCTCTGCCCCCACCACTCGGTATGTTGTGTTCGGTCGTAGAGGACGACGTTACGGGGGGAATTCATTCGGTTACCGAACTTCGAGTCGATAGGACGTGTTGTTCACATTCGCATATTCTATCATTTCTGGTACTTATCCTAACGATTACTACACTCTCTTACTACTTTTGCCTAATGAATTAATACACTTTTCTTCGATACCTTATCTAATTATCACAACGGTAGAGAGCAACTATTTTATTTTATTTTTTTTTGCATTCAGTTAGCCTTGAGTCATATCATAAACTTCCACAATAGAATTCGAATTAAAGTAATCATTTAATTACGACGCAATTTCGTTTCTTTACAATACACATATTATAAATTAATATTTTTCTTCTGTTAAGATATCTGGTTGACAAAGAGAAAAGAGAGAGGAAGAGACTAGTCTCAGAGTAACGTTAATGGGTTTGATGCATAATTGGTAATATTTAATTTATTATTACAAAGCCGATCGTATGTATATATATCTTTTTTTTTAAATCATTGATTTTATGTGGGTATGTAACAATGTATGGTAATACATGGTACACATTTATTGCATAATTAAAGGAGGGTATAACTAAGTATACTTATATAAACGTTACAATTAATTGAGCAATATACTAAGATGCAAGAAGAACAGATTAAGCTTCTTTCTTTCGGACGTAATTTATTTTTATATAATTGAGAAAAGAATTCGTGGCTTGATCATTTCAAACTTTGCTTTGTAATATGGGATTTTTAATTATATAAAGTCGTTTGATTTTATTGAAATAATTTGCACCTTTTGCTGCATTTCGGTCGCGATATTTTCTGTCTTGTTGAATCGTTAATATTATTCTTCCAGTCTTTTTACTATCCCTATGTCGAGTTCAATCACCAATACGTACAATTTTCGTCGCAAGTTTAAATATTTTTTAAAATCATTTACGTAGAATCGTAATACTTATGGTTCGGTTTAGCTATGGAATTTTACTTCGTACAAACATTTTCGAATATTTATAAACCGCGATATATTACGCGATTCGGTTAACATAGTAACAATTGCTAACTCTAATAACAAACATTTTTATTTTTTTTTACTTTCCATAAATTAATTTCATTGTGTCGCACTATTCGGTACTGCGACGTGAAATAATCTTGATAATTATTAAACGTTATTATTTGTGTTAATGTAAAATGTGTAGTTACGTAAGTTTTTCCATTTCTCCAACAATACAGTATTCTCTTGACGAACACTCGGTTCGAAAAAAAAAGTAAACACGCCCCTCCTCCCTGCTAACGAACAGTTTTTATTTCCAGAGATGTTGACCGCGCGCAATGCGGTCGGTAGAGTCAGTGTTTTTTACGTACAAGGTTTTTTTCTTGTTTTTTCAGAGCAACACAGCTCTTAAAGTAGACATATGTACTAAATTCACAATAAATTACGCGAAGGTAGAGTCAGTGATTTTGTTCGCCGGATATAATACACACGGTCGCGTTATTAACTTCTTATTTATTTTTTTTTAATAATATTCCATTCTTCTACAAACTGTTACAGCTTGCATCTACTGTGGTCCCTATGGTGTCCTGGTTGGGCGGAGCTCTCAGAGCTGAAAATGTAAGTATCTATCAAAATAGAAGTTTAATAGTTTGAATCTTTTTCATTTAAAGAGTTGTTAATTCTTAAATTCTTGAAACGCCTATATGTGTCTCTGTTTGAGTCAAAATTACGAGAATTTCAAAGTTCACTGTAGTAAATGATACTGAAAATTTTGAAATAATCATCTCTGTTTTCAAGAACAAATAATAATATTCCGTTCTTTTACAAATTGTTACAGTTTGCATCTACTGTGGTCCCTATGGTGTTCTTCTGATGACTTCCACAACTTCTGGTGTGCAGTGGCGTCCTAGATGACTTCCTCCGAGCAGTGGCGTCCTAGATGACTTCCTCTGGGGGTAGCAGTTTGCTGTGGCAGCCTAGACGACAGCTTTAACTCAACGAACTGTGAGTCGCATGCGTTTAAGTTCCTCTGGTCACTCAATCATGTCGTAGGGCGATTGGTCCGAATCGACACGGGTGACTAGTTGTAATTACGTAGTATCTTTTGACGAGCACAGTGACCGCGGGTGTGAGTAATAACTCACTCTCGTGAGTTGCAACATTTTGTGTGATTTATTTCTTAGATGAGGCTAGGTTTTCTTGCACCGCGTCGTTTTTTTCTATTCTGGTTAATGTTGATAATACGATATTAATTACAGTAAAATTAGTAAATACAATTAGAAATATATCGACCTGGATACTGGTCAAATGAGAATATTTTCAATTTAGATATTTGTGGAATATCCACGTGAATAATTGAGAAATCGTAGAATTTTCGTATTAAA